GTGGAACCGGGGATTGAACTCAGGCCCTTGTGCTTGCCAGGCAAGCGCTTATTCTACTGAGCTATCTACCCGGCCCCGGGGCTTAATATAATTCAGATGTCACTCACCACAATTCATCTCATGAACTGTAGGTTGCAAATCACGTTCTTTATTGCTCCCCTGAAGCACGAAATCCTCTTAGTTTTAACTATGGAGCACATTCCTGTATGGACAGATGCTCTTAGAACACAGTGAGACCTCATGTTTGAAACCACAGAGATACTGGTGTGAGGTCCTCACAGTAGGTGGATGACATCTTTGGCTCTCCTGCTCACGAGCGGGCCCTGGGAGTGGCACAGAAACTGTTACTCCACGAGTGTATCTCTGCAGGGGCTTTAAGTCAAGAGGCATGAATTAGAGAAGGACTTTTTTTTTTTTTTTTTCCCCCGGTACTGGGGATTGAACTCAGGATCCTGCGCTTGCCAGGCAAGCACTTACCCTACTGAGCCATCTCCCCGACCCGAGAAGGACTTTATAGTGGATGAGAATACAAATAAAAAAGCAGAAATGTGCAAGCTCCCTTAGCATGGTCTCAGATTCATCTGTTCAACAGATGTTTTCTGTTCTGTCAGGACACTATCCTGGAAGATGGATTAACTAGCCCTGCCTGGCGGCTAGTCGCTTGCTGAGCGCCCCATTTCCACGTTTCACAGTGATTCCTCTGAGGCCAGGTTAGTAGGGCATAAGCTCTACTGTGCCGTAAGGTTTACTGCGGCTACTTCAGTGAAAAGCGGGGCAGAGGACAGTCGGGAGATACGGCTGTAAGCAGGATGAGAGATCTGGGTTTAAGTCCTTGAACGCTGTCCTGACAGATGAGCGGGCTCCCCAGGGCAGTGACGGAGGGAGGTGGCCCTCGGCTGTGGGGGCTCGGGACAGTAAGCAGCACACTGCAGCCAGGGGTCATCAGCAGGCAGACACGGATTACATGCGCTGCTAAGGAAGTCTGGTCTATGCCTGTTTCTTCACCTTCATTAGGCAACAAATCAGCCCCTCCCCCACTAAGAAACCCAAAACAAACGTGGGCAAGTAGAACTGTACTTCTCAGAAATACAAGTGGCTAACAAATCCATAAAAAATTTTCTATGTTGCTGGCCATTACAAAAACGCAAATTAAAATAAAACGGAGATTCCATCTCACTCCAGAAAGAATGGTGAAGGCTGACACAGACGAGTAAGACACCAGGGCTGCGGGGCTGGGCATTTCAAAGGGCCCGAGCCTTGCCTGCTGCAGAACTCCGCCTCCATTCTGAGCCGGGGTCTCCCGTCGTCGGCTCACATGACCCTCCTGCCTGCCCTTCCGGGTAGCTGGACTTCGGAGCATGCTACTGGACCCAGCTTCTAATTTCTTAACTAACAGATCAAACCTCACTCACACTTGAGACTTAAAGATAAGCCTGAGCAGGTGAGAAGGCAGACAACAGGCCTAGGACTGCAGGAATAAAGACCCGAAACAACATGTAGGCACTGTAAAATTGTTTGTTTTTTAATGGCAGGTCAAATAGCCTGAAACATACACATATTCTGATAGTCTTCTAATCCCAGTTGAGTTCAAATATTAAACACACATGAGCTAAGAGAATTCAATATTGTTCCAAGGCACTTACTGAATCTCCATGACTAGGTGAAAACAAGGACAATTAGGATGAACAATTAGACAGTATATAATATAAAAATAACTTTTTGCTTACAATTTACAAAATGTATTATTATTACAATCTTTGATCTCTGATAACCTGCAATGCTGGCTGCATGAATCCAGCAATTTTAAAATTCAGAAACTATTTTCTAAAACTTCAGGGCAAATAATTTACAAATAAGGTACACAAAGATTTAGATCATGCAGAAATTTCTTACATCTTGTTAATATTTTATGACTGCAACTTTATCAAATTATATACCTACTTGCCCTGTACATATACAAAATAATGCATACATGATAAAACAGCAAGAGTAGTCCTTAAACTCAATTTTATCATAAAAGTATTACTGTATTAACAGGTCTACAAGCAGCGTGTAACAGGGTTAAGAGACATTAAGGCAATAATACTTGAAATTACAAAATAAACCGTATGTAACACTTTCCTAAGTGTGTGTAGTATAAGGCAGGTAGATGGTCCCAGAAAAAAAAAGAAAAAGATTCAGGTAACAATCTACACTGCTGGCAGCCCCACATTCTGAAGATGGAATACTGTCAATCTCGAATTTGGTGGCACTTGAATTTTCCAGTATGACTGAAAATCTCTTAGCTCCCTGAATCATGTCCATTCTGAAGGTGGATCTCTTGGTCCTTTGGGTTTTCCACAGCGATTCCCAAACCCTAAGGTGAAAACACCACAGTAACCAGTCAGTGTTTACAAATAATATTATTAATACTATTACAACCATATCTAGACACTCTTTTTGTTGAACAAGCAGATCTTTGGAAGGGACTATGGAGTCTGAAAAAACAAAACTTTGAAACTACAGATAACTGAATTTAATGGGGTGGGATGGGGAGACAGCTCGGCAGTCTAGGCGTCTGCCTGGCAAGTGCAAGGGCCTGGGATCCATCCCTGGTACCACATGCTGTGCTGGCCCCGGAACCTCAGGTGTGCTGCGCCAGCCACCGGAAACGGGTGTGGTCACACAGGATCCCAGCACTGGGGAGGCTGAGATAGGTGGAGCACTACAAGTCTCAACTGCGCACTGAGACCCTGGATCAAAAACAAACAAATACATAAATTTATTGTAGGTAACTGAAAAATAACTGCTTTTATTAAAAAACCCACAGTGGCCAGGTATAGTGGCATACACCTGTGGTCTCAGAGTCCAGGGCCAAACTAGGCAACACAGTGAGACCTCAGTTTAAAAAAACTCCTACAAATAAAACTAATTCCATCACAAAGTAACAAAAAAGTCTCAGATATTTTCATCTTTCCAACATAAAATCCTGCTCATCAAATGCATTTATATTCATTTTTAATCTCAGTGGGGGAACAGAATAAATCATTCCACTTATATGATTCATTCCTAACAACTTAGATCAGAATGTTTTTTTCATGGCAAGCATCATGTCAGAACTTCAGTAAATCATAATAAAAAAGACTCCTGGACTCTGAAACCACAAGTGCATACCACTACCCCTGGCCACCGTGTTTTTAAAAGAAACAATTATTTTCAATTATCTACAATAAATTTACTTATTTTTAATACAGGGTGTCACTACGCAGTTCAGACTCATAGTGATCCTCCTGTCTCATAACAATTTAGCTTAAGGAAACTCAAGAAGAATAGTGAATGATTTTCACACACTACTGCCAGCATTCCTATTTGAGGTTGTGAAATTGTATGTTAAACAAATTACCAATGTCCGTGGATTCTGCTGGACTTTCTACGGTCTGATCTTTCTCATCACTTACAGGAAGTGAAGATTCCATACAAGTCTCTGAGAGACCTGCGGCCAGATGATCTAAAATGTAAAACAAAGTCCTGAATTAAGTACCATTCTTATAGGACACTTAACTGATGTAATGGCACACAAACCAGGAAATTGCATTAGGTTCTCCAGAAGTACCTACAGATCTATATAGTGAGCACGTCTGCAGTGGGAAGATTCTCCTATTTCATGAGTCTAGCTCTCGGCATAGTGTATTTCTTTAAAATAGCTGTGTTCTGAGTCAACAATTCCAGCTGAGATGGTTTTATATAGAAATCAAAGGCAAGCAAATTTGCTGTGGATTAATGTACTTCTGCCCCCAAACAGTGATCTGAGTGCTATGATTTTTAAATTATAGTTGGTTCATGCATTTAATTATCAATGCATAACATTGGTAACAAAAGAAATTAACCATCATGACTCACTCTTTCACAGCCTTGATCATTTCCCCTTTGCCTTTGTGAGGAACCTTCCTGGAAACTTAATATATTCAGTAACAGGTGGTTCCTACCCTCAAGACGCTTATAGTCTACAGAGGGCC